CTGTATCTCTTGTGTCTAGCCAAGACCCTGCATTTCACAATACGAACGTCATATTGGGGAGTCATTGATGCATTTGTAGCCAAGCAGGCAGAGATAGCCCTTCAATACCAGGCACTTTCCATAAGGCGTGTACAACCTGTGGCTACATATTATTGGAATTATATGTTATTGAAATAATATTGGCCACTGGGATCAAAATCTCCAAAAAGTTGATGATCAGTTTATGCTGCTTTGCGTATGGCAGCATTTTCATTTAATCCTGTTGGTGCAGTTATGAAACGAAGACACTGAAATCAAGAAACCAGCAGAGGGAGCAAGGAATCATGCTTTGTTTTTTTGGCTTCCTTATGTAAAAGGGTGCTGGATTTTTCCAGTTTCTAACACAGAATTATTTGTTTGTAATTTATCCCCAGAGTTCCTCAAAGCTGTGAGGTCCTTAAAGGAAATAAAGGCCTACATACTATCTCCTTCTTCTTTTTCACAACTTACCTTACAGAAGTTAGCAGATACCAGAGTTTATTCCAATTCTACCTTCTTGGAGTCCAAAATGAACATGTAGCTTCACACAGTTCCACAGCAGATACAGTGTAGAATCACTTGTCTAACCCAGCATTCAAGGGACTTTGGGGATTAACTTCTCCCAAAGTCAAACCATGTAGTTTGATCCATCTGTTTGGCATCTGACACTGTTGCAATTTCCATTCACATCAACAGGACATGGTGCAGATTAAGCGGGCCAGCCCAACATACTCACCAAATAAGCAGTAACATTTGGTTTGCTGTGTCCTTAACAAATTCTCCTAACATTTACTGATAGCTCCACTAAAGATTAGAGAAACTTGGGCTGATAGCAATACTTACAGGAAGTTGCTATTCAAATTTTCAGAGAAGTGATGGAGAGATACAAGATGGTTACCACATATCTCAGCCATTGTATGGGACAGAGTTGATTCAAAAGATAAGGCCTATAGATTTTCACAATCACTTATCTACCATTTCTCCATTATTCAGGAAACACAGTAGCAGATCTATAAACACAGTTGCATGGTGTGGTTCCAAATTCAGATCTAGATCCAGGGCTTCATGTGATACATTCTAGTTGAAAGGAGTGGAACTCTTCTAAAGGCAATGATACAGCAAGAATTAAAAAAAAAAACCAACAGATTATCTCCAGTGTAAAAAAAAAAAAAAAAAAGACCTATGCAACAATGTCCCTAAGACTGGCGCACAGTGACAGATATCACCATGGGGTGAGGCATAACCAACCCTATTTACAGAGGTGTCACTTGAAAGCACTATTTTTTGGGAAGCAGTGGCTAAGCAGCTGTGTAATTGCAGAATGATTTTCTCCTTCTCCAACAGAACTCCTGGGATACACGTCTTCATAATACACTCAATGTTTTTGACACGCAGCACTTCCACACTCCTAAAAGTTTCTCTAAGCACACAGTGAGATGCTTTGGAACCAGGTTGTATAAAAAACGTTAAAAGTGTACAAGGGCCTCAGTTTTATACCTTGCACTCCTTTGATGACCTCTCACAGCAAGTCAGTTATAACTGAAGGAGGGCTAATCCATGGTTTGTTAAAGAGTTTTAATAATTTGACAACCCATTTTGTATATTAAAGGGTCTTTTATTATTTTTAGTATGATCTCTCTTTAAATCACAAAATATTGTGGAAATATTTGGACAGTAGAATTCATGGATGGCTGGAAAATACCCAATATAAAGATTAATGTCCTACCCTCACATTCTGTTTTTTAGACAGCTGTTTTTTTCTTGCAGACAGTCTTTTTTAAAAATAATTTAAGACAGCATAAGCTTCTATCAAGCATAAGCATTGTAGCAAAAGTGCAACTTTTTTTTTCTTCTGCTATTCCTCTTCCAAAGAAATATTTTAACTCAAAATATCATTAACACGCATCTTCTACAAAAATAGCATGTTGGAGATCATTAATTGGATGTATTAACAACTATTTACACTAAGCCACGCAGTAGGCCGATAAGATTCTTCAAAGAAAGGAAGGAAAAGAGCCAACGTGGTTTAAGACAGTGTGTGAGGCGAACAACAGCAGCAGAGAAAACTCCAAAATGACTAATCCATCTAGGTTTATTCACTCATCCTCAAACTGTTGTGGCTCACCTCTTACGTAACATTCAAGTGAGATTTCTCTCAGTGCTACCTTGGCAACAAACTAAAAATATCTAGACAAGGTTCTTGGCTTTAGCCTTATTAAGAAAGCTTTAGTTGCGGGATGATCTGGTATCTGCCAACAGTCCCCAGCGAATGGAAAAAACAGGATGTTTGGAGACTGAAAGACCTCACCATGGAGCCTTATGCCGTCTTTCATACACTCCCATTTTTAATTATCGTTCCTCTTTGCACTTTCGGTTTTCTGCATAGACACAGCTTCTATGTCATTAACTGTGGCCTGATGCACAGATATTAAGCAAGTAAATGCTACCTCCACGCTGGGAAATGCTGCTTTTCCTTATGATCTAATCCAGCCGAGGAGAACCACCCTATAGAACTGTTGGAGACTTCCACCTCCTTTCTGCAATATGGAGGAATTCCAGCCTGCTGAATGGCTTGGCTGTATCCTCAACCCATCATTCTTGTGCAGAAGTACGCCCTAGTAGGTTCAGCTTGGCGTGTCCCTACCACAGGAATGGAACCATTCTGCACTATTAGAAACAGTTCAGGCTCCTGTTTAGATTTCTGCTAAAAACAGGACAGTGGACAGTTGGCAACTCCTACCATTTGCAATGTTATGGAAAGTTAGATTCAGCTACAATCATCCGTATGTTTCCCTGGAGGTAAACTTCCCACTGAAGATGCTAGATTTATTTCTGAGCAAACATTCATACATAGGATTGCACTTTTAATGGGAGGCGCCTGTTTCCTAAAAAATTATAAACCTGTCTCATAAATCAAGGGAATTTGAACTCAACAATACTGCTCCATTCCCTAAGTGACAGAATGGGGACAAAAGCAACTGTTTAGCAAAAAAAAAAAAAAAATTATACTACAATTCTTGAATCTATAAGTTAATGACAAGGCAGGGATGTCTGGGTGGAAGGGGATGTGGTTTCCATGACACAGTCACAGGCACCATCTTGACTTTTTTTGACCCCACCCTGTGGACACCCATCCGTCAGGGGCAGCTCTAGGTCTGCCAAAAATAAAAACAAGTTTGAATAATGCATGGCCTATATCTCAATAAAGTGCTAGTGTACAAATTAACTTAAGGGTCTCTTACTGGTCCACTTACTGGTTCCTCCACTTCCTGTTCTCCACCAACCTGCAAATCTGCTTGTTTCCTGTCCTCAAAGTGCCTTATAGTCCAGTGCAAGAAATTATGCGGATGCTTCAAATCAACAATTATGGATCAGATCCACATCAGGACTGAATGTCAGTTTCCCTAATTTCAGTGCAGTTCAGATGCATTTAAGGTTTGATGGGCCTGCACTCAACAATCTCTGTATGGCAGGGTTTCTTAACCTTGTCAACTTTAAGATGTGTGGACTTCA